TTTAAATAAAGGTAATAGAAAAGGGAATAAATCCGTATTGCTAAGCCTTTTACTTTACGTTAAAAGGTTTAAAAGTTGCCGGGCTTATAATTGTTGCAAGCAAAAGGGATAAGCACGGTATAAGGCTATTCCGGTTAATATGTTTTAAGGAGGAAAGGATTTGTAGTGCAGGTCCCCGTAGGGGCCTTTGCCCTTTATATATACGTAACTCCCTGTCCTCCTTGCTTATTAAGCTTCCCTTTTAACGCCTGGAAGCGTCATACGCTTCCAGGCAGGGGGACCGCTTTTCCGATGCCTTAGGCATTTGATATTTATGCCTAAGGCTTCCTTACGACAGTATATACTGTTTACTTTGTGATAGCTTACCTTTAAATTTATTGTTAATTTTCCATTTTCCTTTTTTTAACCACCCTAACCATAAAATCGTTAAATAGCTAACGGGCGCTTTAACAATTGCTAAAAATACATAAATTATTAAGTAAATGTACAATAACTAAAAGGAATTAAATTTCGACGATATACTAAACGATTTTAAGGAAAATTTTAGCGAATGGTTGGAAACGGATTTTAACGCGGTAAATTTAACGATCCAACAATTTTTACAAAATTATTTCCGAAAGCAAAGGCTTTACCTTTTTACTTTTAACCCAAAAATATTAAGCAAAAGGCTGGCGGATATTTTTATTTGGTTATAAGCTTTAAATACAAAGCTAAGCCTTACGTTAAGCTTAACGTTACAATTATTTAAAGCCAAAAGCAAAAAGCCTATAAAATTGCCATTTTTAAAGCTTATGCTCCCTTAACAATTATCGTTTAAAACGTTCCTTTAACCATTTAATACAACGCAAAAAGCGGTAAAAGACGAACAATTACAAAAAGTACAATTTAAAGCGCAAGCAAATTAAAAAATAAATTTCCCAATAATTTTTACAAAAGCATTAAACAAAATAAGGTTACCTTTCCGTTTAAGCCCTTAAATTACGTTATTTTATATTTAACCGGAACGGTAATATATTTTTACAAAAAATCGCAAAAGCACAATTCCATTATGACTATTTTAGCCCATACAACCATAGCAAAAATACCCATTACAAAACGGAAAACAAAAATACGAAAATTTCGTAATTAACGTTTTACAGCGCAAACGCGCATAGGAAAAACAAAAACCAAAAGCATGGAATACGGCATTACCCTTTTTATTTCCGTTATTATTTAAACCCCCTTTTTAAAAATTGTTACCAAACCTTTCCAACCATAGCTAACCATTATTACATAATTAACCTTTTTATAATTTACCCGTATCCCGTTACTTTTATACCAAAATGCATAATTATCGCTAAATTTTTCCACGGGAAATAACCAATGCATCGATTAACGCAAGCACTTTACGCATTTTTAAAACCATTTGGAACGATATATATTTGTATACGGGAAAACCGTATAATATTATCGATAACAAACTTTTCCACTTTACAATTTACGCCCAAATATTTGGTATTGGTTATTTACAATTCCACGCGTTATATTTTTATATTTTAAAAAGTAAGGCAAACGAATATTATGTTAATTACATTAGCTTAATATTTACTTTTCGAACCACTTATTTTGCATTTAAAAATTACTTTAAAATAAGGATTGTTGTTGGAACAGCATTTTTATGCGCGTGCGATCCAGAGAGAAGAGGTTGTTACGAGGGCTCCGGGATCCTCCGGATCCCGCACGGGCCAACACTATCTGCTTTAAGCAAAGCAAGGAACCACCCTTTTGGGTAATCGTCCCTATGCATATAACGGGCAATTTTGTGCCCTTTTTCTGGCAAATAAATTCTTTCCTCTTCGTGCACAATAATAGGATTTTTCCCCAGATTATAAAAATCTTTGTTTACCCTTTACAGGAGATTTCCGGGCCGTTAACAGGGGTACCAAACTTTTACCAACAATTGTACAAATTTAATATTAAACAAATTAAACAACAATTTATTTTAATACCGTTTGTTTGGGGTTCGCGGGCACGGGTGAAACGGATATCGAAATTTTGCAAATTTTTTTAACGGATTGCAACGGTATTACCGGACGCTGGGCTTAAATTTTAGCAATAAATAATAATTTGTAACGAATATAACAAAAGCAATTTAAAAAATTTCCGGATTCGAAATGGCTTTAATTAATTATTTTAATACTTTTAAAAGTTTTTCCAACGTATTTCGCAATATAACGAAAATTAAAAACAATAACAAAATTTTAGCATAATATTATACGGAACGGAAATATAAAACAAAAATTAACGAAATTAATGGAAAATAAGATAAAAGCAAAAATAAACGTATAACCCGCATGCTAAACGAAGTTATTAAATTTGCAAAAAGCCCAATTATTAATTAACGAATTATTTAAAAAAAAAGCAAAAAAAGTACAAAAAGCGCTAGCGCTAAAAACAAAAAAACAAAAGCAAACCTTTAATAAGCTACCGGAAGTTCCTTTCGATTACGAAACTAAACGAATTAAAAAGCAAAAGTGTTAATAAGAATTTGGTACTACTATTTTAAAGCTCGGAAATTTCCTGGTAAAGGTAAACAACGATTTTAATAATTTGGGGAAAATCCTATTATTGTGCACACCGAAAAAAGAATTTATCTGCCAAAAAAAGGGCACAGGATTGCCCTTTATATGCGCAAGAACGATTACCCAAAAGGTGGTTCCCTGCTTTGCTTAAAGCAAATAAAGTTGGCCCGTGCGGGATCCGAAAAATCCCAAAGCCTTTTGTAACAACTTTTTTTTCCGGATCGCACGCGTACCGCAATGCTATTTTAATACCGGCATTATTTTTTTTTGTGCGCGGGCAACGGGTAAACTTTCCTTTTTAAAAAAAAGGCTTTATTTGGAAATTACCAAAATTTCCGAAAAGTTTTATTAAAATGGATTTAACGAAAGAAAAACATGCTGGATTTAAAAATCCGGATTTTTATTTAAAAAGTAAACGCGAAGTCGCTGCCTGCCCCTCCGAGTTTGGCGCCCCTCCCAATCGGGTATGGCGCCTTCCCCAGACAGTGCGCCGTGCTCTCGACGTCTCGGGCCGCGACATAAATAGAGCTCCAGTCCCCCAAAGTCCCCTCGTTGTACTCTTGACTTCACATCCTCATTTCTCCCGCCCACCTTTCGCCAGGCCACAACACTGTCGCGCTCTGGCCACGATCCTGGTCTTTGTCCATTTCGGCCTGGACGCCGCCCTCCTCTGTCCCTCCTTCTAGGCTCTAGCTCTGAATCACGTCGTGTCCCGCGACTACTGCGCCCTCCTCCCCCCTTTCTTCATTGTCCAGCTACCAACTCTCCCACTCGCCTTAGTCTCGAACGCAACTTTACTCACTGGACACTTCCGACTCCCGTCAACGCTGAGCGATCAAGAACCTGCCCCTCTTTTCGTGTTGGACGAGCGATCTCATCCGCCCGGCCCCC